ATAGCAATTAGTGCTGATTCATTTGCATTGACCCTCCCTGCTGCTTGTTAAAAGATAGCGTTATTTGCAGAGGTATCAGAGTGGGCTTAATTTGGCTTCCAGGATCTCTGTAGCTGTTCTAGTCTTAAACGAAATAGGTAAAATCCAAGAGGAAATTGGGAACAAAAAAAAACCCCAACAAAACTCCCAACTATTCACATGTAAATTTGCCCATTAAAGCCATAGACCGTGTAGATTTGGATAACGTTATATTCATTTCTTGAAGTAGAGCTTCCCCTCAAATCATGGAAAAACATCTGCAAAGAAAAAAGCATTTCTTCCAGGTCTTTTGCTAGTGGTTGCAGTCAGAGGCAGCTGTCTGATTTATATTCAATGAAAACAGCTAATTGTGCCCTTGTAAACTTTTTCCGTTTAGAGGAACATGTATTTATTTGCATGAAAACGTTTATGTGAAATAGCGAAAACCTTTACTGCAGATAGAAGATGCCCTCCTAAAGGCTTTTTCTTCAGTGGTTGGTAGCTTTCACCTCACCACGTATCATTAATGTTTAGTGCTATTGCAAGTTTTAAGATACCAGATTGGAGTGACTTTGTGTGTGTTATTTTAGCTAGCATTAGCCAAACAAATTTGTTAGGACTCTTGCACTCATTTGCTCTCTGCCTCTCCTGAAACACAAAACTCTCATGATTGCACAGGATTTTGCATTTATTTCTTTTCTTTCTAAAGTAGTTGAAAGATTGTTTAATGGATGATGTTGAATACAAGTTCCTATTTTATGAAGTTTTAAAGCACCCTGACTAATTAAAAAAAATTTAACCTAAAGTATGTTAAAATTTTAATCCCATGGGATTCAAAAGATCTTTACCCTTATGGGGACAGTCTGAATAACTAATGCTGATTCATTTGAAGAAATTTTTATTAAACTGTTCTCTTTCATTAATTTTGTGGCACACATGGAGTTAGGAAGCTATGGAGTTAGTATTGTTTTGCGTATTAGAGAAATACGTTTTGATAAAATTATGTGCATGGCATCCATCCCTCCCCTTTTGAGGTGGTGTGTTTGCAGTGGGAAATGACTGGAAATTCAGTGGCACGGTGTGTTCTTTTACTGATGACACAGGTGTTGTGTCATCAGGTCAACTCAATCTGTGTACTCTCTGGCCGTATTCCTTCCTACCTTGAAATGACTTGTACTGAGAAGAGCTCAGAGATGTTCCAGCCATGGTTGTCTATTTAAATCAAGATGCTTTGGCTTTCCAGAATGCTGTCCTCAGAAATTTTTGCGGTCTGGACTTCTGTGTGCTTTATACTCATGTTTTTTAGTCTTTTTTTTTTTTTTTTTTTTTTCCCAGAAACCATTTTAATGTATGCTTTGAAAGATTCATGTGTAGTATTTTTGTGGTTTTGTCCTCTGAATCTTTATAATTGAGTATCTGTCTTTTTCGCTTGTTCTTTCTCACTTCTGTATTTCTGCCAGGTAAAATATGAGTTTTATTCCATGGTGCTCATAAAAGTAAATTTGTAGGTGTTATGTTTATTAGAAATTGTCTTTTGTTTAGCTGGGATGAAATTGGGAACGTCAAACCAAAAAACAAACATTCATTTCCCACAGTGGATGAACTTTTGACATTGACAGGATCTGCAGAGCTGTTAACCTAACAACTGCATAAATTATTTCTGTGATGGTGAGTGATTTCTGACCTGAAATCAAAACAGGTGTTTATTCCTCAGGCGGTGATGATAAATTAATGTGTTGTTTAATCCCAGAAGTAAAAATTCCTTTTTAAAAAAATAAATCTGAATTGAAGGTTCAGTTATGTAGAAGCCTGAGATGTTGCATTTTTTTGCCCATGGTATTGAGTGAAGTAGCTGTTGGCGTGGGTGGAAATTGCTGGACTTGAGCCTTTTGCCCTATCAGCTTGATAAATGCCCTCTTTCCTTCTCTGGTGTCATTGTTCTAGGGCTGATGGGTTCTGGTTTACATGAAATAAGGGAGCGCTGAGGACCAGAAAAGCATCTCAGTGAATGGTGACTTGTGTGAGTGTCAGGCGTGGCTGCCCTGCTGGTCCCTCCACTCTTCTGGCTTTTAGCTAGGGTTCTTTGCTGTTGCATTAATTTAGGATATCATATCTCTCTGTGGATATGGAGTATCTGACTGACTGACCTTCCCTTTAATGTGAGGGCTGTGTGGAGACCACCAAACTTGATCAGAACCGGTGTCAGCTTTGTTGTCAGCCAGCCTGAAGCTATTGCTGTAATCCAGCTTTTATTACTGCATGACAGGTACACGTGGTGGGCAGTCCTTAGAGTGTTGACCATGCTGTACTGTTTATTCTTCTGTTTTGGGAAGCTGGATGAGACCTTGATTCTGTGTGGGCATGCTTCTCTCCTCACTTCAGTACTTCTCTGTGGGGTGCCTTGTGAGATGGTAGCGTTAGCCAATTCATAGTAGATTTATTTCCAAAATGTGAGTCTTGTTGGTGAGACACATCCACATTCCCTTTCTGGTGGTTGTAGGATAATGCACAGTGGGATGGTACGGTTGGTGCGGCTCTCTGCTCTTGGAATGCTTTTTGGCACATTTCTGAATACTGGTCACATTGTCAGTGTCTTCCCACTTGCCTAAAGCGTGCTGCTGGAATGGATTTGGGAAAGCTCTCCGTTTCTGTGGGTATAGTTTCTGGATCACAGGAAGACAAGTGGATGATATTAGTAGACAGCAAGTCTTTGAAGTACGTTAGAATCAACTTCAGAGAGAAAGAAAATCCCTTCCCTGAGCTACAGATAAACAACGGTGCTTTCAAACCTTCAAGAGGATCAAGGTGAAACTCAGTGAACAGCAAGTGCAGAGAAGATGATCCTGCTTTGTGACAAGTGGCAAAAATACCTTCTTTTCTTTTTATGCTCCTATAACAAAGCAAAATAACAAAGTACTCTAAGATAGTTCCATGAAAGGAACATAAAAAGCTTTTTCTGTTAAATATCTTCATCTTAATAGATGTGAGTAGCATATATTTTAAAAGAGATGGAAATATCTCTTTGGAATTCTAAAATATCTTCAAAAGTAAATGAAAAGAACTGAATTAATCCGATTGTGCAGATGCATTTAACAGCATTTCTTTGCTTATGGCTCTAAAGCATGCACCTGAAGTACATTTCATAAGGTAAATATTCCCCCTTTTACCTAAGGAAAAGGCTGTCCCAGGAAAATGAGTTGGAGAGCAATAAAAAGTGGCCACAGAAGTCAAGTGACTGTAGGGTTGTTCCCTCCGAGGTTCCCTTTTGGTTTTTCAAAGATTGAGGGTCTTGAAAGACAAGGGAGTAAATCAAACACTTTTTTTCAGAGGCGGGAAGTATTTTTCTAAAGGAAGAATGTATCCAGACAGCTTTGAAATGGTTGGTGGTGGAAAAAGGCTGAAGTTCAGTGGACAGGGGCGTGTATTAACATGCCTTATGGGTTGCAATGTCATGAGTGGTAAATAAAGACATAAGAAACTGAAAGCCAAATGTCCAAAATTCAAATGGCAACAATGAAGAAAAATTGAGAGTTTTAAAAAAAAAAACCCTTTGATTTTTAAACATACATGCTGGTACATGAGGACTATTGGGGAGAACTCAAAACAACTCTGCACCTTTAATAAAAAACTCTCTGTATAGATAAGGCTGTAAAAAAAGTACCACACAAGAGTGTGTCCCATATGCAATACAAAAGTGAGAACAAACTCGGAATCGAGAGGTGGTGGGTTTGGGTGGGGGAGGGAGATTTAAATGTGTCCTTCAGGAAAGAATCTGTGTAAAGAATTGAGAAAGAAATAAGATGGCAGCGGCAGCAGCCAGGATTTGCAGAGCTTTTCAGTCTTTTGTTTGGTTATCTTGCATAAGTGCTTTAGCCAGAGACTCTTTCAGGAGCTGCATGGGGCCAGCTTGGAACACAAATGTGCGTGAATCCAAATGTAATTTCCCTGTTGTGCACATTCTGGCTGTGACAGCTCAAGTTATGAATGTAAAATAGCAGGAAAAAAAAAAAAAAAAGTTCAGAAGATGGCCAGGACTGAAATGTTAATAAGAACTGACTTACCCAGAGCTCCTGTGAGCTCAGCAAAGGTGCTGCCCGAATTTTAAGTCTGGCTGCTCCCATGCTTCATTTTGGTGTGCCTGGGAAAAGAAGAAATAGCCTGGTTCTCTGTGTGTCTGTATGATTCAGCATAATAGAAATAAGAAACATTTACTTCCACCTGAGATGCAGGAAGAGGGGATAATGCTAATTCTCTGCTCCGGTTCATGGTCAGTGTGGGCACATGGACCCAGTCGGCATCAGTGGCTTCGATCTGTAGACATAGTTCTATACAGGGAACGGACAGTGTCTTTTCCCTTTTCAGGCAGTTCTGTTTTCTGTGGGGCAATAATCTGCAGCTTTCCTTAATTCTCAGTGTTCAAGAGGCATTCGTCTGCCCTTTGGGGGAGGATTGGTGCAGAATAAGGGATTTCCTCCCCTTGCATCAATACACTGCTCACAGAAGGGGCACCTCGTCATGGTTGTGGGGCAGCTTGCTTGGGGGCTGCAGGCAAGGAAAGGGCTTTTCCCTCTTCTACATGCAACTTGCACAGCACAGAGAAGTTGCAAGTTTACAACTTTCCCTGCTTCTTCAGCATCAGATTTTCCTGGGTCTGTCCTCTCTCTCTCTCTCTCTTTTTCCAACCTCCTTCCATCTCTTGTTACCATGGAGAATGAAATGCCAGCTCCATTCAAGTTGTCGGCTGAATAGGTTTTGAGGTTGATGGATGGTGAGAATCTCTTATCCCTCCTTCTCCAAACACCGCCCCTGCCTGGTTCTTGACATTTCACTTGCCAGAGACTGGCAGTCAGCGAGAGGGAGCTGAAAAGCAGGCTGGCAGTGTCCTGCTGAGATGCTCTTTCAGTTCCATGGATGAAATCAGCAGCCGTGAGAAGGTCTTAAGGACTTCGGTGCAGAGCCTTGTCCTCAAGCTGGCTGAGGCATGAATGCTCACTTGAGTGCACGCTCCCGCTTCCCCACGGCACCCAGGGAAGGAAAGATTCATGTACAAGACTCACTCCTGCTTATGCCTGTGTTTCAAGGGGTGCTGTAAGCTCTGCAACGTAAAGGGGAAGGTAAGGAATGAATGAATACAATGCGTGCTCTAGCAGGAGCTGTTTCTGGTGTATATACTTCTTTTAGGCTTCGTCTTAGTGCCGTGTCACAGGAGAGGTGGAATTCCTTTGCTGCAGTCTGACCTGCCTGCTTTCCTGGCTGCGATGCTGAAGTTAGCAGGAGAGTCTGTGTGTGGGGGGATCCTGGCAGTCCCCATATGCACCGATTGCCTGCGCACTGTATTACTAGTGCAGTGTCAAAACAGCTTTCTGAATGCGGTAGCTTTTGATAGCAAATATGTGGAATCGTGGATCTTGACAGGCCTAGGGTTGAAACACAATGTTGGGGATACTGCATGAAATGGCACTACAAAGCAGAACTATCAAAACAATAGCACTGTAAAATTACACCAAAAAAATTTCTTTGTTGCGATTTATTACTTTTCACGCAAGATAGTTGTGGTTTTAGAAGGGATCAGGAGAATTTTCGGCTTATGCTGAAAGGCTTAATCTTGTCCTTTTTACTGGAGGAGTTGTTTTGACTGATGACCACTTAATAGAGTTTGGGAGAAGTGAATACTTGGCATTGTTTGATAGGTGTGTGGATTTCGCTTCTGAAACTAAAGGTTAGTGCATTTTATGACTTCAGAATTTAAGTTCAGGCATTTTTTCAAACTAGAAACATTCCATGAACATACCCTTGTTGGGAGAGGGAAAGTGTTTTTGTGAGCTTTTTGCGAAACCCCGCTGTGTCAGGACCATACCAGCATAGGAATTCACACTGGGGGTGTACTCTAGCAGGTGGCATTTTGTTTTGTTTAAGGTCATATCTTGAAATTTTTTCTGGGTGCTTTTGAAAAGCTGTGCTTGATAAGGGACTGTGAACTTTTGCTGTCAGTCTGTTGTTTCAGAGCCTTGCACTGATAAATATTCCCACGCTTTCTGCATTTCCCTAAACTTGCTAAACAAATACATCTTTCCACTCTACCACCAGCAGCTTTTGCATCTGTCTTAGCTCCTCAAGATTTCACTTTCCATTTGATGCTTTGTGTTCTGTTTGTTGTTGGATTGTTGTCTCCCTGCTGGAGTTTTCCTGCTGTGCGATGGCTTTTCCTGTTGGGCAAGCCACTTTCCAAATACTGATATGTTAGCTATTTGGCCACTGGTATGTTAAAAGGGAATTTTTAATTCCTGCATCAGAAAAGCATGGGAGCACGTCAATACATACAAAATAAAAATAGATATATGTATATGAAATATGTATCAATATGCCATCCTGTTCCTTAATTAGTTCACTGTGAAGACCATAGTAGTATTTTTGTCCCCAAAACTAGGGATTTCTGAGAGGGATGCACGCATAGCGATGTGATTATCTGTGACTTTTAGTCATAGGAGATAATATGCAGGACTTTGATTTCCTGGTTTGAACCTGGTTAGGTGGGGTACTGCAAAAAACGTAAGATTTTCAAAAACACACCGCTGAAGCTGCTTCTTTTTTACCATAAATACATCACTCATGTCAGATAGAGCGGAGAGAAAGTGATACAAAGAGGAAAAAAGGGAGGAAGTCTTTTGGGACACAGAATGATACTGTAGTTTGGGATTAACTTCCTCATTAAGCACCAAGCTTCATGTTACCATTTGTAAGGGACAAGGGAAAGGGTAAGCATCTGTTTTAAAATGGAGATTTTGAGTAAGCTAAACAGTATCAGCATCAAGGCTTGTATCTGTATTTCCATTTATTCTGATAATCTGCTGGTATTTTTTGATTTAGGTGCTGTCTTCTCTATAAAAAAACTATACTCCTACCTGCTTGTGAGTTTGCATGAAATGAAATCCTCAATCTTTCTCTCCCACTCTGTTTGTGAGGATTGTTATGGTAATAATTTTAGTGGTTGTCAAAAGTTTTTCTGCATATTTCTGACAGGTTTCAACTTCTGAAAGAAGATCTTCCAGTTTTCAATATGGAGATATTTAGATTCACTTTGCTTTCTGAAATGCCACCTTCTCTTTTGCCCACCAAGATTGACCTTTACTTGATTGGGTGGGGTTTTTTTGCTTTTATGTTTTCCCTAATGAGAATTGGACTGACTTAACAACAACAATAATAATAAATTTTATTATTAGAACACTTCTGGTAACTTCTCTGTTTCATTCCATCTGGTCTTTGGTTAAATTATTCTTGGAAAATTTTTTAATGTCCCGCTCGTTTTAGATTCAGAGTTGCAAAATACCACTTTTGTAACTGCTCCTCTGTAAAGTGTCACCCAGATGCTTAATGAGTTCCAAGATTTTCATGAATATACTGTTTTCAGTACTATTAACCACCAAAGCTGACTTTTTTCCCTTTATTAACCCTAGAAATACCTCCTGACTTCAGAAATTGGTGTTCAGGTGGTGGCTTCTATAATCCAGTGATCCTTACTGGTACATACTGTTCTCTTAGGGTATTTTTTTCTGCTGTTCTGAAGGTTGGTTGCTGCTGACATGGTTTATTAGTATACTGCTGTTTAGATTTTTCTAGAATGGCAAATGCCATGTGTTCCCCAGCTATAGAAATCCTGAAGAGTTTACCATTAGATTTTAATTGTGGAGTCTAGTTCTTATATTCATTCTTTCTTTCTTTCTTAAATTCACTCTTTCTGAATTCTTCAGTAGCCTGGCACACCTGAGACCTGTCCTTTATATTGTACAAAGTACAAACACTGAAAGCAAAATGCAAACACCCAGATGTTATGTGATTTAATGTCAGCTTCAGCTATTTATTCAAATCCCAGCTTCTCCGAATCTGTGGTTCTTCTGAAATATTTTCCCTAAGCCTCAAAAATAAGTTGGGTTTGAAAATGCAGCAGGATGAAGGAATTCCAAAGTGGCAGTGTTGTCCTCTGCCATCGGACTCAGTAATTTCCCAGCAGTGAATTTGTTCAGGTTTCCACAGCCTTTGTGGCAATAAAGCATCACAGATCCCGAGACGTGTGTCACGTAGCAGAGGAGACCTTGGATGCTCGCAGTCTGTCGTGCCCATATGCCTGGAATCTTTAAGCCTAGGAAGTAATGCTATGCATAAATGGTATTTTTGGACAAAAATTGGCAGCACGAGGGACATCAGCAATAGTGATACTGTATCGAGCAGCTCGGGGGGCTGAAGAGCATCTTAGTGATGCGCCTGCTGTGGTGCACAGGCATGGAGTGATTCTGTATTGCTGATTGAGCCCAAGGAACAGATTGCTAGCTAACTTTCTTGTTTAATATATTTAAATGACATCTCAATTAATGCTACAGCTTGTTTGAAGAGAGGTAAAATAGATTTGTCAGATGTATTGTTCTAACTTTCTTGTTATCTGTCATTATATCATCTTTGACAAAGAGTGCTCCGTCACAGAGAAGTTACTATTCTGCAGAAAAATATTGATCTAATGAATTGTTGCACTAAGACTAGAAAATTTGCTGGATAATTTGACTGTTCTTAATTTGGCTATTATTTGTAATGCCTGGGTTTTGTCTTTTATTCCTTTTTCATTCACGTTCTCCCTTTGTGGAAATCAGGGTATCTACATTGTTTTCCGTATTTTCCCAGCATCATGTGGGACTTTTATCTGTCTGGCCCTTTCCTTTTACAGTTTACCTCCTCCATAAATGTGCTGGTACCTCCCTGCAGTCTTTCCATGGTGTACTTTTCTCCTGCTACCATTATTTTTTCCCAGCTCCTTTCTCATCTGAACTGTAGCCAGAGCTTGTAATTTTCTTATCTCGCCCTAAAGCCTCCTGGCTGCTTTTTACTTAAAGGCAGCTGGAGGAAGATCCAGCTCTAAACCTCCTTCTGCTTGCCTAGATGTTTTACTTCACCTTTTCCTCGGTGATCAGTGCCTGGGTTTCCTTTTGGAGCTTTCCCAAGTGATGGGAGGATGGAAGTGACCTGGTTTGCTTCAGCTCCACTCCTGTCCCTGCTGCCTGGTGCCCATTGATGAGGATGGGCAAAACCTTGGGTGCAGCAGCAGACTGAAGCTCTCTGTGCTGGTTGATGAGGATGGGCAAAGCCTTGGGTGCAGCAGCAGACTGAAGCTCTCTGCCCATGGGTTTACGAAGACAGCTCTTCACCAATTCATACTTTGGAAAATAAATTTTAGTTTAGCTTTTGCCAAGGCTTCCTACCTGCTCTGGTCAAGTGAATTTTTAAGCGCTTTATTAAAGGCTGGTCTATATGCAAAGAATAAGCATCATGCTCTCCAGTTGCTCATTCTCTTATCTCAAGTGTCATTTACTGGAATCTGTCTACCTTTTGCCTCCTGTAAAATGTAAACTGAATTACAGGCATATAATTAAATCAACATATTAAGTGTGTGAGGAATGAGAGGCAGTGGGGATTTTGATGGCCATATCCAGTCAGAATATTAAAATCTATGATATCAGGTATCTAAGCTATTTTCTAGTGTATTGAGAGCACTGGTTGTGTAAGAACAATTTCCAGCTGAGACAAAATGTGTTTCTGTGCTAGGTCAGCACAACAGGAGATCATTTCCCCTCACCTGGCAGAGCGGCTGCTCCATAAACCTTGTGGCTGCTAGTTAGAAGACTCAGATGTGCAGTATTACTGCTCATCAGGGATGGGGAGATTTCACAGAGATTTGAATAATTGCCAAATGCTTGTGAGGGTTTGACTGGAAAAAATGTGACAGTTTCAGGTACCGTGCATTTGTGTTTGCCTGCAATCCCTGTCCAAGTCACTCTGTTGCATCTGGCATGCTTTATACTTAAAATTACCTTGGTCAGTGTCTGAGACTGATTTTCTGCCTGATTTCTTTGCACCTAAACATCACGCGCATAGTATCAGTGCTCGCATTATCTATAGATGTAGAGCATTGGATTCTCAGAGCTGAGACTTTTTACTTCTTTTGTTTATTTTATGTTAGGCATAGCAACTCAAGTTCCCGTTGTCTTGCCATAACCCAAATTTGAAACACAAAATCAAAAATGGAAGAATTGGAAAGCAAAATATAGTGCAGGAGGCATGAGAAGTGGGATTAATCTCTAATTTAAATACCGTTCCCTCTAACCTTGGATTTCTGAATAGGTGTTTGGTGTCAGTTTACCATAAAGACTAGGAATAGCAAAGTAGTCTGGGATGGAGTCAAATTTGGGTGCAACATGAGGGATGTTCCTTATAACTGGATGGATTTGTGCAGTGTGTGCCTCGAGGCCAGCTGCTGGCTATTTCAGATTTGTGCCTGTGAAATCCTCTCCGTTTAGTCTTGTTCCAGAGCTGTAGCACACACTATACCAATGTATCCCCCCCACCCAGTCTGGTTATCTTTTGTTGGCTCTGTATTGCTCTTCCCCAGCTGTGATACTGGATTTTTATTCTATCAGTAGAGGAAAAAGATAGGAGAGAAGCTGGGGAAAGGATATCTGAAAGTGGCTTTTGCTTCTTTTTAAATAAAAGTTAACATTCTTTGCAGTAGAGAGACACAGCAGAAGAAACAGGAGGGCACACTAGGGAGAGCTTTTGAAAATGCTGCTTATATTTCACTCTTGTTCTGGGTTGTGACTCCTAGAATATGTTCAAAGTTTGTTACCGTTTTACAGTTTAAAAGCCCAGATGGAAATGAGCGGTGTCTCAGTTGTGGAGTGGTTTTTGAGATTTAGGACTGGACACTCACACACACATAAAAATGTGGTCTAATGGACCAGGCCATTCTCTACCCAGCCTCTGTATCCCCTGGCTTCCCCTCCAGCCTGTGCAATGTGAAAGGTGATCTCAGACCCTGCTTCTCCCGGAAAGGTCAGCGCTGCTCTCATCTGCCACACTTGTGGCGTTTCTGTCCTGCTTCAGTTCCTACAATCAACCAGCTGTAGGGTGCATTCGATCAGCTCATAAATCTGACCGACTGATAATAATTTTTTTGGTGGGTTAGTTATTTGGATCAGTGTGCTGTGAATAGCTGGGGATATGGGTCTGCTTTTTTTGCTGGTAGCTGCTAACATACTGGTTTATGCTCCTTGTGGAACCGTACCCTGAAGCTATTAACTCTCCGCTGTAATTTGCCTTTAGATGACTGACTGAGCAGTACGTTGATGAATACAGAACAAACTGCAGTTTCTTCTCCTATGAGCAGTATCTCAATGCAGTATAATAACAGGGGGTGTGTGAGTTGTGATGTCCTCTTATGCAGGGGTTGGCAGACTCAGTTGGGCTGAGTATCATCTGTAGGAGTAACATCATGATAGCGTGGCCCAGAGAAGCACACTTCTGTTCCATCCTCCTTCATCATCTTCTCTCATATTTGCTCTCTCCTGGGCTTAGCCCCATAGGACCGATTACCTCTTCCTTATTTCCCGAGACTTTAGCTTGTCTCTCCATCTATGCTTTGCGATGCCATAAATCAGGCGTTGTGTGGGGTTAATCACAAACGTTAAACCCCCGCTCCCGGACGTCATTCTGCGCTGCCTCTGATCCGCAGCAGCAGCAGATGCCTGCACACAGCCCGGCGTGTCAGTGACCTCAGTCTAAAGACATCAGCCAGCTTGGCAGAGGTGCTGGCCCTGGCGTTCAGATGGGAGCCAACAAGACGCTGTCAGGAGTTGCCATCATGTACTAACTTGGAAATTGTTTTTGAGATTCTCTGCTTTGGCAGTTGATCTTCAGAGACAGTGTGGATCTTTTATTACTTTCATCCAAATGTGGGTTTTCTTGATTTATGGGAAAGGGATTTTTATACAGTAAGGGAGGTGGCTTCTAGTCCCATCTTCCCATTTCCATATTTTATCTAACAGTTGCTTCAGTTGTTTAAAGTACCTGGGTTTGTTGCTCTGGATCGTGGATATAAATAGATGCCAGTAGCAGGAGGCCTTATCAGCTGTGAGCAGCTGTACTTGCCTTTTCATTTTAAATCTAGGCACCTAAAGTGCAGATCAACAACAAACCTTGGTTTTCTGGAAGGTGAAACTTTTAAATTCTTTGCAATTTGTTGAAAGCTGTTGCCTCTGTGCTTAAAATAAACTAGTGTTAGCCTTTATGGGGCAGACTGCAACTGATTTAATGGAGCTCAGAGTTAAGGTTTGGGGTATTATTGGAATATTAAGGTCGGTCATGGTTTGGTTTTGAAGTACTCTGTGTGTGTGTGTGGACAGTCGTGGTTAACTAAGTATATTACTTGCGTATATTGGACAGCCTAGAGAGTTGAGCCTGATTTCCTGGAGAGTATTTTATTTATTCTCTTTGCTGAAGTGGCTGTTGGGGAGTGCCTGAGGGTGCTGCGAAGTGAGGAATACACATGGGCAAAACTTTAGAGGACAGGATTTCAAACACTGTGTGTGGGATGTTGCAAATAGCCTTTGTAAGCATGATAGTTTAATTTTTTGACCTCTGAATTACAGTGAGATTGGCCTTTCTTCTATTTAATTTTTACAGCTAATGTTTTACTTTCTGTGGGTAGATTATTGGGGTAACAAGTTACCCATGCAGAAGTCCCAGGCTCAGACCTGGAGGGAATACATAGGTCTTTGTGTGGTTCAGACTTTGAACTAACTGACCTGCTGAGCCTTTGCCAGCTTTGTGCAGAGCCACCGCTGATGTCTCTGCTTTGTGCTCGGGAACACAGGGCGCTGAGGAACTGGCTTTGGAGGAGCTGGAGGAGCTTCCAGGAGCCAGCTGGGATCCACAACCTGCTGATTTGGGCTGAAACTCTGGCTCTGTGAGACAGAACCACTGATGATAGCAGTTGTGGAGGGGTAACTGGTGAAAGAGTAATGTATTATATGTACTGTGGTCCCTTCTGCTTTGAGAGTTTTGTCAGCTGGGGTTTCTTATGGGGCTGCCTCTGTAACCCAGCTAAGAGTCTTCCCAGGACCTGGAGCGCAGAACACAGGGCACTGAGGAACTTGCTTTGGAGGAGCTGGAGGAGCTTCCAGGAGCCAGCTGGGATCCACAACCTGCTGATTTGGGCTGAAACTCTGGCTCTGTGAAACAGAACCACTGATGATAGCAGTTGTGGAGGGGTAGCTGGTGAAAGAGTAACGTATTATGTGTACTGTGGTCCCTTCTGCTTTGAGAGTTTTGTCAGCTGGGGTTTCTTATGGGGCTGCCTCTGTAACCCAGCTAAGAGTCTTCCCAGGACCTGGAGTGCTTCAGGGACACCGGACTTTTGCCTCTGTGCAGCAGGGTTTGTGTGCTCGATGTTTTCCCCTTTTCTGGCTTTTCCCACCCCCCATTATCCTGGGCAATGGAAACCTGACTTCGTTTGTTAATGCTTGGTTGAAGCCGTATCAAGTGCTGTCTGACCAAGCTAAGAATAAAGTGTTTAGTTCAGATGTTTTCTCCTGGGATGCTCAGTGTTCAGAACATTTATGGAAAAGATTGAGAGGGCAGATAATCCTGTACCTGACTCTGCTGCTAAATCCATCTGCCCTGGAATAATGGCTTTCTTCCTAAAACAAATGTACTCAGATTGAGGTATCTTTTATCTCTGAACAGCAAAGGTGCTTTTTGATTTTCCGGTTCCAGGAAAGCCCGTAGGCCTGTGTGGTTTGCATGTGCTAAGAAGTTGTACAGCAGAGGTATTTTATGAAAAAAAAAGACACAAATTTTCTTCCGGTAAAAAGTGTCAGGTTTTCTCCCCTTACATATTATGTTGTCAATTTGTGAAAAGGTGTCCAAAAGGAGGTGTGTGTGTGGAGATGCCACTTACCATAACGTAACCTCCCACGGGAAGCAATGCTAACATTTACTTGTGTTTGCCCTTAAGGGGTAGAAGGGTGTTGTTCTGTCCTGGGGCTGTGGTATTCTACAGAGAAGAAATTAACCCAGTTTGTTAGTTGTAAAATCTGTTACTGCCTTTACATTGAAGTTTTTGTTTCCTGCACCTGGTTTTGCAACATTCATTATGCTGGGTCTTCACTAGTGTCCTGTGGTGTTGTGCAAGATGTCTTTGCTCACTGGAGAGCACCTTGCAGTGCACTGGTTTGCTCCTTTCAGCTGGAATCTCATGGATTTCCTAGTCCTTGGTTTCGCCTTTCTGTTTAACAAGTACAATAATGTGTAACTGACTGAGTGAACGGCACGTGGCTGAGCCTCCTTTCCTTCAGGGGCTTTCGACCAGAGGCTAGCAAAGAAACACTCGATAGTTCTTATGAACACAGGAAGGAGGAGGAAAACAAAAAAAATCTGGCTGAAAAAGATAAGACCAGTATGTTTAACTTGCAGTTCTTTAATCTTTTTATTTCATTTGCAACTTTGGATAATTTCTAGTCACAGAATCACAGAATCTTCAGGGTTGGAAGGGACCTTTGAGATCATCAAGTCCAACTATATGCACGCAAAAAAAAAAAAAACCAACAATCTCGGGCACTAGAGCATGCCCTGAAGTGCCATGTGTACACGTTTCTTAAATACCTCCAGGGATGGCGAATCCACCACTTCCCTGGGCAGGCTGTTCCAGTGCATGAGTGAATTACTCAGTAAAGTAATTCTTCCTAATATCTAATGTAAACCTCCCCTGCCGCAACTTCAGACCATTTCCTCTGCTCCTGTCATTATTCCCTTGGGAGAAGAGGTGCCAGAGAGACCTAGTTGTAGAGGGCAATGAGGTCTTCCCTCAGCCTCCTCCAAACTAAACATGCCCAGTTCCCTCAGCCTCTACTCATATGACTTGTTTTCTAGACCCCTCACCAGCTTGGTGGCTCTCCTCTGGCCACGCTCCAGCAGCTCAATGTCCTCCTTGTAGTGAGGGGCCCAGAACTGAACACAGCACTCAAGGTGAGGCCTCACCAGTGCCGAAGTCAGTTTAGTTTTTCCTGTTTCTGGCTGAAGGAATCACTAAAATCAGCACTGCAGTAATTTCCTGAGCTGAAAACTGCAGTGGTTCAGGTACCAAAGTGAATTGGATGCCCTGGCTGGAGAACGTCTGCAGTTTGGAAAACATTACTGCCTTACACCGCCAGGTACACGTATTTATCCAAAACTTCTCTCTCCCCAGGTTCATGGTGTTTTCACTCAGTCTGCATCTGGTACAACACAGCTCTTTCTCAGACTGCACAGACACTTTTTGAGGTAAGAAAGAATTGATACAAAGGATAATTTTGGCCTGGGTAACACCGTAGACAAAGACACTGAGAGTCATGTTTCGTGGGTCTTTGGTATGTTGATGAAAGTCGTAAGAAACAGATCTGTGGTGTCTTGGGACATTAATCTATATCTACATTATTATAATTTAACATTTTATGCTTTCTTGATTGTATTACTTATGAAATGCCATAAAGTGAAGCTGAGTAGTAACTTCAGGTTTTCAGACCTGTGTACTCCTTGAGGTGATTTTTTTTCCCTTGGTATTGGCACTGAGCTATAAAAGCATTAGAATCTGTGTTGGGTATCTAGCCTATAGCGCTGTATAATAGTACTATAGTGAAGTACATCAACATTTATGTATGTTTGTGGATGCAAAGACAAAGATACAGAATGAAAATTAAGAAGTGACTTGTCTGGCTTTTGGACAAAATCTCCTGGGTAGGAAAGGATGTAATGTCCTCATGTATGGTGTAGCTATTAATATATTAGGTCTAGGGATGTTCTGGGTTATTCTTTTTTGCTTTTCTGTTTTATCCAATGCACTCTTCAAAGATTGACTTTTTGTACTACAATTATTCAAGGAGTGGGGATATGAAGATGAAGCAGTAACCTTCTCCAGAATGCACAAATAGTTATTTTCAGCACTAACTTGATGTAATTTCAAAAGCAAGTGTTCATTTTGCTTCAAGTAACTTTATCCTCCCAAGCCCGGTGGGATGATTGTGCACAAGATAGGGAGCTGCCACAAGTTCCATCTTATGGGTTGCTTTGATGTTCAGGAGCTGGAGCCAACTGTAGAGTGTCAGAACAATAGACTTAATTTCTCATCATCATCTACTGGAAACTGTGGTAATAAGAGATTATGACTTGTCTCCCAAGTATTCCCTCAAATGTGCATCCCTGCTTGCTCCTTATCAGCTGCTGTGCTGGGCTCTCTCTGGCACCAGAAAGCACTCATCTTCCAGCCCTTTGGGAAGTGCCCGTTTCATGTTTCTGTGTGCCTCTCCAGTTGATAAAGTTGATTTGAAAGGGGGAATTTAGAAGGGAAGAGCGGTCACGCTTCTGGGTTTGGTTTGTGTGCAGCTCGTTGTGTTTTATGTGTCTCCCTGTTTCTGTCACTGAAATGTGGTCCTTGTAACATCGGAGCGTCACATCACCTGGGACAGGCACTGCAGATCTCGCTGTGATTCAGCTGAGAGGGTTTTAAGCAGGATCTATGTTAAATTGCAAAGTTTTGTGTTAAAGCTGATGTCACTTTTCAGCAGGGATACACTCTATAATCTTCTTGTTGTCATGCTCTAAGGGGAGTTACAGGGACAGTGACACCTGTGCTTGGTGTGTAAGTGACCGCTGTTTCAGGAGCCAGTTTGTGATTTTATCCAGTGTCTTTGAACAGCACAGTGCAGGGCCTGCACTTTCCTGCAGGAGGCTTTACAGGATGGCACTAACTACTGGCATTGCAACATGTGGGCCTGGGGGCTCCATCACTTTCCATTGACTTGTGAATGCTTCTGCCATCCAGAGCACTCCAGAAAAGTTAGGAGGCCTGTTGGCTGCAAGGGAAAGCCTGTAGTCAGCCAAACCCTAAGCATGGTAGGTGGGAATAGATGACTGACGAGGCTGAATCACGAATTTAGTGAATGGATACAGAATGGATATTCTGCTTCTGAGAGTATCTTGGAGATCCTCCAGCCTCAGCCTTCCCACAGAAGTGCCACGTTGAGAGGAAGGGGGTATGATTTCCCTTTACTATCTCCCTCTTTGTTTCCGTACTCCTTCCTTTCTTTTTGCTTATAATTGTTCTTCAAAGAAATAACATAAAAACCCCTTACAGATTTTCATAATTTTAACAAAACAAAAGGGAGGTGCACAGGAGCCTCATTCATCACCTTTTGTCACCAGACTTGATTTGACATCTGAGACGATGGAGAAACTTTGGCAAGTGCAACGATTTCCCGTGTGGGGGTAATAAGAAAGAAAAAAGCTGTCAGTTGAAAACAGCAGGAGCTGCATTAGCAAATATAAATTAAACAGATGGCTAAGATACTGCAGCTGTCGCATAGAAGCTCCAGGAAGATCTTTAGCGTAGAGCTGCAGGAGGCTATTTTAAAAGGAAAGATGAAAACAACAACAAAGCAAACTTTAGCATGAGGAAAGAGACAATAGAGCCATTCAAATGATTAGATGAAACTTATCCAGCACTGATTGTTTTCCTTCACCTTTTCAAATTTAGGATCAGCTATTATAAGATCACATTACAGACTGTCATATCATGGATCTGTCTGCTGGTTTAGAGGTGATCTTCTGTACTTCTGTGTGAGACACTGCCTCTGGCACATGCTCTGGGAAGTGGGGAGAAATGTAACGTACATCCTGCGATTTTGTTCTTCAACTGTTTGGTTTACAGCTCTTTCAAGAAAAACTTCTTATGACAGAATTGTCTATAAATAAAATGTTTGTGGAAAAGCAGTGTTAAAAGTGTTAACATTTTGGCGGAGGAAGCACCTGCATTTAAAGTGTCTTGCATATTCAGCCTTAAAGTTACATTTTTCAGATCCATTTTCAGCTGAAAAGTGACTGTTCTTTTCCTTTGTGAAAGAAGTGATAAAACTGCATCCAAGTATCTTCATTATGTTGAAATACAGACATATGTTAAAATGGGAACAAATTGGAATTTCAGTGCTGATTCTCAGAGGCCAAAAGGCGGTTAATTATCCAAACATTGTGTGTGTGATGTATTTTCCTCAATTAGGACTAATGGTTTGTCATAGATACCTTGTGTGTAAGCAGAGACTGTTATGGTGCCTATATAGTTAGGTGATGAAGATATGAGTTACAAAATAGGTGCAGCTGTAGTCGAAGCCTGTCTTTTACATTCAAAGAAATAGTGTGCACAAATGGATTCCTCGACTGGCTGATTGATTTCCCTGAGGGCTGCTTTGTCTGTTTGCTTTTTTTACTGCAAAAACTATGTGTGTATCCTTCTTCCCATCATCCCCATAAAGTTTGAGTAGATAAGCCCTAGCATGCTGTGAAAGTTGGTGATCCTCCATTCTGTTACAACTAGGAAGTTCAGCATTGACACGTAAATGCTCTTTACTAGCTAAATCTTTAACCTGTCCTAGACTTCTTCCTGGTCTTCGTGGTTCAGGACACAAATCATGAAGGGCATCAAAGATCAATAGCAACAGCTTGAGCTTGTTTGTGTGAGCTTGGTGAAAACAGGTAGCTTCAGTCTTCCCATACCCTTCAGGGTGCTTCAGTTGTCTCCCTGAGTAGAAGCGAGCTCCTCATCATTTAACTGTGCATTTCTTCTGTGGCTGTGGCTTCGTGCTTCAGCGTAGCAGCTGATCATGCAGAGTAACTGCATGTAACTGTTTCTACCCTTTAAATTTATTTCTACTCCTGCAGAAACTTTGGAGCAGTTATAAATTCCAGAAAGCTAGAAGGAAAAAAGCCTCAGCCCGAGTGTATGCCTTTTCTTCCATTTTTTGCTCAAGAGAAACAAAGTTGGCCTTGAAGTGTACTTGAACTTGAGAATGATAAATGTGGAATATCTTTGTCAGTGATGGAGGGATGTTTCAGAGTAAGTGACCTTCCACTGGGAAGCCTCGCCTCAGCCTCCGCATATTTGCTCCTAGCCTTTTGCTCCAAATGCTTTAGCTAAACTCCACTGCCAGGACGTGCTCGGCAAGGGAGCAGTTTTGTGTTGGCAGGACCCAGGGCACACAGAAAGATTACACACTGAACCCTGCAAATTCCCTGTGAGCTCTCTTCCATGGAAGAAACCAAGGGGTCAGTCAGCGTGATCAGAGGCTCAAGACAGATGACAGTTAAGGAGGGATGGGAAGGAGCTAAAACAGAGAAGTGAATGGGATGGGAAGAAGCAGTGGGGCAAGATAGCCTTGCCTTTAGAGACGGTTAACCTTTACATTTTGCTGTTGAGTATCCCAAAGGCAAGAATGAACTTTTCCAGCTAGTAATGTAGTTCCTGTCTAATGGCTGTATTCTGTCTTTGATCTTCGTGCAAACCTTCTTGTGATACCAGTGGAGGATGCTGCAGAGGATGGAGGGTCCGTGGTTGCTGTGCTGTAGGTTCAGCAAGTTGAGTGCTTTCTGGCTGATGGCATAGAGCTAGGGGAGGAAATGTCTTTATAGTTTTTCAAAGAGGGCTGTGACATGAATTTTCATGTTATATGAAGTGTTAATATCTAACTCTCATTGATTAGGAACAGCTGCTTACATGCAAAATGTATGCTAGTGGAAAAAAAGAGACATGATCCAGCATTTTTTAATGTTCTCATGACAAGAAAGTGCTTCTTAAGTGGAGGCAAGAAAGCCCAGCCTTTGGTCTTATAGCTCAGCCATTCGGCAAAAAGATTTCATGTATTTTGGCTCTCGTTTGAACTTGTTTCTTTTTAAGCCTTCTCCAGAACTGTCAAGTCTGGTTTTTTAGGTCACTGCAGTTCTTCATGCTCTAGAGACAGGTACATCAGTGACAAAGAGAACATGTAGCAATTATAAATTACTGCTTATTTTTATGCTTGTCATTTCAGAGGTCACAGAAGTAATGGTTAGGCATAACAAAACAGTGCATCAGGTACTCCTGGTATGCAGGCTGTGTTTTCTACAGTGCTGTGTCGGTAAATAATAGGTTAATGATTAATTTATGATAGCTAGCCTTTTTTCTAATTTGTCTCAATAGCAGAGAAGATTGAACTTCATGTTTAATTTTCCTTTAAAGTCTTTTAACATTACTTTTCGGTGGAAAGCAACTGAATACACCTGCTTAAATTTTGATAATGAAACCATCTTTCACATGGAAAATAAATTTTCTGTATAGTTAAGTAGTTTACGTCACCTAACTCTGGCAATTCTTGCCCTTGGATTTTGAGCTCCATTCCAGATTCAAGCATGTCTGATCTGAGGCAGTTTATGGGAAAATGTTTAGCCAGTTTGTAACCCACCACAGATTTGCAATATGG